ATAGTTAAGTTAGGGTTTTTCAAAATGCTGACACACCAAGCTCAAAAGATTCGCCTTCACTGCCCTAGGGGTTGCCCACGTCATTAAAGGCAGAGGGAATCTGCACTGCAGTTTGCTGAATCCTTTTCATCATTCAGCAGAGAGAAAATTTAACCTGAGTAGTGTGACATGTGACGTGAGAAGAGGGTGTCATGGGGAGAGGATTGGCTATTCTTCAGGAACAATGTATGTGAATCCCTCCAATTAATGTCCCCAGTTGCAGGCTTCCTACAAGTTCTCTGTTCTGGAAAGAGTATGGACTCTCCTCCCTACCCTCTCTTGATATAGCTCTTATTCGATGTTATTTTAGAATCCTGGGTCTGAGAAGACACTGAGAGGAGGCCATTGTGTGCAGTGGTTAGGAGGGAAGGCGGTAGTCAGACAGACTTTGAATTTGATCTCTACTCTGCCCAATACCTGTTAGCACTGACCTTGGGCAAATGTCTTAGCATTTTCAAGCCACATCAATGTCTTTACTTAAAAAGTTACAATAATAAAATTAGCTTTTTGCAGGCTATCATAGGGAAGTAGGTGAGATAATGTACAAAAAATTATCAGGGTGCTTGGTATAGAGTGTTAGCAGTGATTATATTACACACATATCAAATTTTTTTATTGTTGAAAAATGTTAATTTACTCAAAGGTAAATGACTAATACAAAGAACTTCCAATTACCTAGACCAAGCTTCCACAATTATTAAGTGATGCCAATCTTGTTTTATACTCACCACTCCCCAGCCAGCCCACATTATTTTGAAGCAAATATCAGACATTGTTTCATTTTATCAGTAAATATTTGAAACCATTTAAAAATATTACCATTATCAGACTTCAAAAGGCAAATAGAATTTTTTACAAAGTTACCAGTTGCCTTCAGACTTCCCTGATTGTCTCATGAATTTAAAAAGTCTTTGAAGTTGGATCCAATTAAGATTCATAAATTGCAATTGTTTGGTTTCTCTTATATTTAATTTAATATGTAGTTTTCTCACCTTCCCTGTTTCTTTCTGGAAATTTCTCTGTGTAAGAAGGAGGGAGTCTTTTTTCCAAAGAACTGGCAGGTTTACTAGTACATTTTGTTCATTAACATTTTCACAGTTTCATTTCACCTGCTCTTCTAGTTCCAGTGCTTTGTGTAAAGTTATATTTAAGGAGAGGCTTGATCTGACTCAGGTTTGACTATTTGGTGGAAATACATCATAGGTTCAGCTGTAAACTTCCCTCAGAAGGCACATAATGTTTGGTTGTCTCTCTTTCTTTGATATTAATAGACATTAATGATGGCCTAAATTTCATTAAGGGTCAGATGTGATGACATTAAATTCTATAATTCTTTCCTAATTTATTAGATGGGAAAATCCTATAAAAAGAAAGTTCCCTCCAACCATTCTCTCATTTCCATGAGAAGACAAGATAAATGTTTGATTCTGTCTCTTTATTTTTCAATGTTCATAACAATGAGATGCTTTCCTAGCACACTTCCAAGGGAGTGACTGAGTATTTTAAGCAGAAGGCCTTGTTATGAACTCATGTATTTTAAGATATCTGATATATTTTGATTCATTGGAGTTATTATTGATGCTCACATTGCCCCATCAATGTCAAGTTGCATTCTCTTGAGATTGGCATTTAAGTCCTTTCCATAAGATCCCAGTGATTTTTATGAGCATCCTGGCTTTCATGTTGACAAGGGAGTGAAGGCTCAACTGAAGCATTTTCTGCCTGTTCCTAGAATCAGTACTTGATTTATAAAACCCTAAGTTTTGAGGGAAATGGCATTTGAAAACCACCCTCTAGGCACTGAGGGTGGTCATTGTCACTGGGCTCATTATTATCTCTATGCTGTTTCAATGGACTTCAAAACTACACACACACACACACACACACACACACACACACACACACACACATACACACACACAAACGCACACACACAGAGACACACAGAGAGACACACACACACACGAGAATAGGATTTTTGAAACCAATTTTATATTTTTTCAGCTTATTTTTTAAAAATTCAAGTTAATACCACTAAAGATGGACAATGAAATTATTGCTTTTTTTTAAAGTGTCTTGGACCGATTTCTTATATGGCTCATCCACCCCACAATATACAATTAGATTTATTTGCCATTTGCTTTTGGTTTTAGTATTTTAAAACATAATTTTCCTTGTACAATTATGTAACCTGCCTACATGGTTTCAAGATCAAATCTATGAAATCTTAGTGTAACCAAGAAATCCAGTTTCCAGCTTCTGTCCTTGTCCCCTCTACCCTGCTTCTCCCAGCCCCATGTAAGTAAATTTTTGTTGGTTTAGTTTTCAGAGTATCCTGTTCTTGCCTTTTGATATATATGAAAAAATATATGTATTGTATTTTACTATATATAGTGCATATTCCTCCTTATTAGAGAAATAATAGGCAAACTCTATATTATTTTCTTCACTTTTGCTTTTCCCACTTAATGATGTATCCTGGAGACCTCTCCATGCTTGTATAGAGAGACACATTCCTTTTCACAGTTGGATAGTCCTTCACTGTGTGAACATATCTTAGGTAATTCAACCAGTCCCTACTGATGGCCATTTGATAGGTTTTGGTGTTTTTCAATTACAAATAATAGCCTTATGTGTCATTTTTTCTGCATTTTTGTCAGTGTAGTTAAGGGATAAATATTAAAAAGGGGGATTGACAATGAATGAGAAAATGCATATGTACTTTTGCAGGGCAGTGCTGACTTCTATACGATAGGGGTTGGACTGTTTTTCCATTCTCGCCAGCCATGCAGGAGAGGACCTGCTTTCCTCATACCTTTACCAACAGATTATGCTAGCAAACATTTGGATTTCTGCCAAACCTGGAAGTATCAAATAGTATCTTGCCTCAGAAACAGAGATGTAATTCAATTAAGATTTTTAGTGATTTTATTTTTTGTGTTTTATTTTTCTCTGAGTGTATGTTAATGTCTTTTGATATATTCAAGGTAAATTTAAATTCTTTTTTTCTCTGAATGTTTATTCCCATCTCTCTTTTTAAAAAAATATTTTTATTGATTTCAGAAAGGGAGATAGAAACATCAATGATGAGAGAGAATCACTGATCAGCTGCCTCCTGCATGTCCCATCCTGGGGATCGAGCCCACAACCCATGTGCCCTTGACTGGAATTGAACCTGGGACCTTTCAGTCAGCAGTACGACACTCTATCCACTGAGTCAAACCAGTTAGGGCTGTTTATTCCTATCTCTTGCTCCATTTTATATCAAGTAGCTGGTATTTAGTTTCTGTACTTTTTAATTTTCTGTGTATAACAGGAATATTTACCCCCTTTGTTGTAAGCTGAAAAGTATTATTTTCCCAAATTTGACATTTTTTATTTAACTTTTCTAAGGTGTCTTTTGTCCCACATTATTTGTGATACTTTTATGTAATCACACTTATTAATCTTTTTCTTTACTCTATTTCAAATCTTAGAAATATTTTCCTTACTGCCAGGTTACAAATAATTTATCCATTTTTTTTTTATTTTTCTCATATGAATTTTTTTTACATTTAAACTTCCAATCTTCTTGCAATTTGAATGGAATGAGGCAGTGGGTGCAATTTTATCTTTTTTTCTGTATGGTTATAGAGTTACCCCAAAGTTGCTTTATTACAACATTTTTGGCCCTTTTGATGTGGTATGCTGCTATATTGAATCTCACTGTAACATAGTGTAATTGAATTGAATATAAATGAATAAGGTATGATTAATTTGGTCTGTTTCTGAATTTTCTTTCTTTTTGTGGCCCACTGTTCTCTCTCTTCGTACAACATCATACTTCTCTAATCATAGAAACTGTAATGCTTGACTCCTAGTAGAGCTAGTCCTTCCTCATTCTTTTTCTTGATGGTGCTGAGTAACTTTCTTTTTTCTTCATCCAAATGAACTTTATAATCCACCATTTAACTTTTTAACCCACTATTTTTCATCTGCATGACAAAATAGGTGATGAGAAAAATTTTAACTTTACAGTTATATAAAATACTGTTAGAGAAATATCTACTTTTTCTTCATACAAAAACTTTATAAACCACTATTTTAACTTTATAATCCACTCTTTCTCAGCTACAGGGGAAAAAGTGATGATAAAAAAAAATTTAAATTTATAGTTATATAAGATCATGTTACATAATTATCTATTAATTCCAATGTATAAAATGCTTTAAGCATGGATCAGTTTTAAATTCAGTCAAATGTCTTGACTGCACTATGTAATCACCTACTTCATCTATGTATATAAAAGGCTAATATGCAAATTGTCCAGTCTGGAATTCCACAGGGAGAGCAGGAGTTCAATTGCTTGTTATGATGAGCCATGACCACCAGGGGGCGGCATGGAACATGGTGGGCGACCATCAACAGTGGCAGGGCAATGAGAGAGGGGGCAATGAGAGAGCAAGCGAAGGAGGAAGAGGAGAAGCAGGGCGGCCAGGCCTACAGACCCTACCTTGCATGAATTTCATGCACCAGGCCTCTAGTCTATTAATAAGATGTGTTGTAACAACAAATTTTGGTATGGGTATTTCCAAATGAGTAACATCTGTAACTTTATTTATTGGTCAAATCTCTGTTAGCCTTTAGGATCAATATCACACTTGATTCAGAGAAAGAATTAAAATATTTCCCTCTTTTTTATGTGATCAGGAATAGCTCACATAACTTTGAGATGATCAACTTTGTAGAGGTTTAAGTGAGTTTTCCTGTGAAAACAACTGGACATTGTACTCTTTTGTGGGAAAAATCTGCTTTATTGTTTCCTCCAGATATGTAACAGATGTTTGTAAATTTTCAGGGAGGAGAAGAACAAAGAAAAGAGGTTTGGGAATGGTCCCCACTTACCTAAGTACCCTTTCCCCTTCTCATTCCCTTCCTTAAGGTCTTGTTGGTACCTGCACCCCAGAGCCTTTTGAAAGAAGATGGCTGGCCTGCAGGACAACACTCTGAGGATTGTACTGGTGGGGAAAACCGGAAATGGAAAAAGTGCAACAGCAAACTCCATCCTTGGGAGAAGAGTATTTGAATCTAAAATTTCTGCCCATGCTGTCACCAAGGGCTGTCAGAAAGCAGAGCGACATTGGAAGGGGAGAAACCTTCTTGTTGTGGACACCCCAGGGCTCTTTGACACCCAGGAGACATTGAAGACCACCTGTGAGCAAATCAGCAAGTGTGTCCTCTTCTCCTGCCCTGGGCCCCACACTATCATCCTGGTTCTACGAATGGGCCGCTACACGGAGGAGGAGCAGAAAACGGTTAAATTGCTCAAGACCATCTTTGGGGAAGAGGCCATGAAGTACATGATCATCTTGTTCACTCGCAAAGATGAGTTGGGTGATCAGACCCTGAATGACTTTTTAGCAGAGGAAAACAACCTGCAACGCACCATCAAGGAGTGTGAGAACCGCTGCTGTGCCTTCAATAACCAACAAAGTGCAGATGAGGCTGAGAAGGAAGCTCAAGTGCAGGAGCTGGTGGAGATGATAGAGAAAATGGTGCAGAGAAATGGAGGGGCTCACTTTTCTGATACCATTTACAAGGACGTAGTGGAGAAGCTTCAACGTGAGGCAGAGGCCTTGAAGATGATCTATGAAGATCAATTAGATAAGGAAACTAAATTAGTTGAAGAGCAATATGATCAGAAAAAAATATCACAGCAAGAAATGGAGGAGAAGATAAAAATCTTATTGGAGAACTATAATGAAAAAATTAAAAATATACAGGAAGAAGCTGGAAGAAATATATTTAAAAATGTTGTACATGAGATTTTGTGTATACTTTCAAGGATATGGAGTAAGTTTTGGAAATAATGTAAATTTTATTTCTTAATTTACTATGATTTGTTAATGTGGTTAATTATATTTTCCAAAGATGACTACAACAATATATCCTGTCCCACCCATTTTTTCTTATAATCAATTTGTTTTTCCTTCTGTTGAATTATAGGGTTTGTCCCCTACCTTGAAATTCAATGGGCTTTGTGACTGCATTGACAACCAGTGTGTGGTTGTGACTTCAAAAGTGAGATAGGGAAAATGCCTCTTTGCTTCTTAGGGTTTGTGGGGTTGACGCTTGGCCACCATGTGGTGAGGAAGCCCAGGTTGCCCATCGAGAGGCCACATGAAGAGGACTTGAAGTCACTGGCCCACTCCCCTGGCTGGTCTTACATCTGCCAGCAGAACCAACTTGCCAGCCATGCAAGTGAGGCAACATGGAAGCAGATTCTCTAGCTGCCAACTGAGCCACCTCAGGTGAAGCTGCAAAGAGCAAAGATGGGCCACCCCCACTGCATCCTGCCCAGACCGCAGATTCATGAGAAAAATAAAAGTTTGTTGATTTAAGCTACTAGGCTTTGGGATGGATTGTTATGCATTGATAGTAACCACCAGCATCTTTCCAGCTCATTCACTACCATTAACCACAATGCTAGAAAATGGAAAAAGTTTCAGAATTGGCATAATCAGGCAATAACATATTATTAAGAGTTCACAGACTCAATTTAGGAAAATTAAAACGAGAAATCCTGCGTGTGTCAAGCGTTAGCACCACCAGTGATGCACATTTTTTCAGTCCACGTCTCTGAGCACCTTGTTAGCGAAGCAGCTGGTTTCTCCAGCAGGATGGTTCTGTGGTCCATGTAAAGCAGGATAGTAAGAAGTTAGGAAAATTCATGGACGAATGGAATAGGGAAACTGAGATGAGAAAGTTAACTGTTTGGGCGGCTTATAGCCAGCTTGTTAATCACAAGACCTTATCTTCCCCAACCAAGGGCACTTGAGAGCAAATGGTTTATATGTCTCTTTCCTAACCAGAGAATACATAGCTTAAATCAGTCTGGTCTGGGAAGGAGAGCACAAAGACCCAATTCATGCCATTTGTGCCAGCTAAACCCAAGGGCAGATGAAGTCAGGGAAAAATAACAAAAGCCACATCAAAGCCAGGCACAACTAAGATAAAATAAAACAGTAAAACAGACAAAAGAATAATCTAAAACTCCCCTCTACACTTATCTTGATGCATCAGCATATTGAAAATGCACCTGGACAGTTGATTGGAAAGAAAAAAAGGAAAAAAAAAGAGTCATCAGGACAAAAACTTGATCTTGTACAAGCCCATGCCTTGAACCAGGCATGAATTTTTATTTCTTCCTAAAATCTATGGGTCCCCATGAGGAACTTGCAACCAGGGGAGTAGTGAGCAGTGGCAGCTGCACCCAGCCTCACTCCTGATCCTGTCTTCAAGGACCCTTTTCCCCTGACTTCCCAGTGAGCTGACACAGTCCCACCTTGACTCACTTCTTTCCTATAACATTTCTAGGGAGCCAAAGCAGCTCCACCTGGGCTCTCTCCTATTGTGTCTTCTACCCTAAACTCTTCTTCTGCTTCACTGTCCCCAGTTTTAATAAACATCCTCTTTCCTGCACCAAGTCAAGAACTCACAAACTATGGGCCAATCCCTGTCTGGTAACACATGGATGCTTCAAAGTTGCTAAATTCTCTTCTTGATTTTCTCTCTTTTCCATTTTAGGTGCCATCCTAAAATGTCCCTGACTGTAACTTAAAAATTTCTACTGTGCTAAATATTTTTTATTTGCATCTGTAGATCCACATTTTGCCCTCCTTCAACCTAGCTTTTTGCCCTAGACAGTGGTCAACAAACTGTGGCTCGGCAAACTGCGGCTCGCAAGCCACATGTGGCTCTTTGGCCCCTTGAGTGTGGCTCTTCCATAAAATACCGACTCTTTCACAAAATACCGACTTCTGCACATGGGCTACGAAATTTCAATCGCACTGTACATGCGCGCCCGCACGTGTTATTTTGTGGAAGAGCCACACTCAATGGGCCAAAGAGCCGCATGTGGCTCATGAGCCGCAGTTTGCCGACCACGGCCCTAGGAGGTTGATCGATGTGTATCATATTGTTACCAAATTCAAGGGCTTCTCCAATTGGGCTGTCCTATTCCAGAAGGAGAAATGGTTGTCACAGGGTAGTTTTATTTACCTGTAGCAAGTTAAGGAGACAGGGGATTCATATAAAAGCTCTGTCTCCCCAAATGGAGAGGCTCAGCCATTCTTTACACTATTTGGTCAATTACAGATTTATTTATTTATATACTTATTTGTTTATTTATTTTTTGCTGTTGGCTACACTTGTCCTGTTCAGTTCTTTTTTTTTTTAATTAAATCTTTATTGTTCAGATTATTACATTTGTTCCTCTTTCCCCCCCCCCCCATAACTCCCCTCCTCCCAGTTCCCGCCCCACCCTCCGCCCTCACTCCCCACCCACTGTCCTCATCCATAGGTGCACGATTTCTGTCCAGTCTCTTCCCGCATCTCCCACACCCCTTTCCCCCTCAAGAATAGTCAGTCCATTCCCTTTCTATGTCCCTGATTCTATTATAATCACCAGTTCATTCTGTTCATCAGATTATTTATTCACTTGATTCTTAGATTCACTTGTTGATAGATGCATATTTGTTGTTCATAAATTGTATCTTTACCTTTTTCTTCCTATTCCTCTTCTTAAAGGATACCTTTCAGCATTTCATATAATCTTGGTTTGGTGGTGATGAACTCCTTTAGCTTTTCCTTATCTGTGAAGCTCTTTATCTGACCTTCAATTCTGAATGATAGCTTTGCTGGATAAAGTAATCTTGGTTGTAGGTTCTTGCTATTCATCACTTTGAATATTTCTTGCCACTCCCTTCTGGCCTGCAAAGTTTCTGTTGAGAAATCAGCTGACAGTCGTATGGGTATTCCCTTGTAGGTAACTGAGTTTCTTTCTCTTGCTGTTTTGAAGATTCTCTCTTTATCTTTTGCTCTTGGAATTTTAATTATGATGTGTCTTGCTGTGGTCCTCTTTGGATTCCTTTTGTTTGGGGTTCTCCGTGCTTCTTGGACCTGTAAGTCCATTTCTTTCACCAGGTGGGGGAAGTTTTCTGTCATTATTTCTTCAAATAGGTTTTCAATATCTTGCTCTCTCTCATCTTCTGGCACCCCTATAATTCTGATGTTGGTACGCTTGAAGCTGTCCCAGAGGCTCCTTACACTATCCTCGCATTTTTGGATTCTTTTTTCATTCCGCCCCTCCGGTTGGGTGTTTTTTGCTTCCTCACATTTCAAATCATTGACTTGATTCTTGCGCTCCTCTGGTCTGCTGTCGGGAGTCTGTATAATATTCGTTATTTCAGTCCGTGTATGCTTAATTTCTAGTTGGTTCCCCAATATAACATCGAGGGTCTCATTAGTTTTCTTGTAGATCTCATTAAGTTTATCGGCGTCTTCTAAACAGTTCTTGAGAGACCTTAAAAGTGTGGTTCTGAACTCTATATCTTCCATTGACAATTTTGTCCTGTTTCTTTGTCTCCGCATTTTGTTATGCCTCCTTGGTGCACCCCCTAGTGGTCTTTGTTCACAGTCTTATAATTAAACCTTGATTGTTGTAGCTAATACCAGGGAGGGTTTGACCTCCAGGCCAAGTGGCTATGAGAATCAGCTGTGTCAGCAGTGAGAGAACTTCTGTCCTCTAGGGAGGTGCTAATCTAGCCCTTGCCTGAGGCTATCTGGCAAATGCCTCTGTGCAGGGCTTGGGCAGGGCAGGTCGAACAGGATCAACAGGGTGGGCCGGAGAGAGCAGTTATGGCGGCTCTCAGTCCTGTCCCAGGGGCTCTGCCTCTCTGAGTCCCAGCACCCTCTGCAAAGCTAGGAGAGAAAGCTGCACTCGCTCTGACTGAAGCCAGACAGTCCCGCTTCTCCCGTTTGAGTCTGGGTCCCTAAAGACTCGCCTGTATCTGGAGCTCAGAGTCTGTGACTCCCTCCCAATTGAAAACGCCAACCGCGCCCTCCGCCACCAGCCCAGTCCGTACACTCCGCACCTCAGAATTTGACTTCAGCACTGCGCCTCCTCTTAGTGTCTGTATGCGTTTCTCTTTCCTCCTAGTTGTAGGACTTCCACTTAGCCAGCGTTCCTGTGGTTCTGGGTGATGTCCATTCTGTCTTTTAGTTTCATTTTTTTCAAGTAGTTGTTCAAAGCAGCAAACTCCGGCATTAACCTATGCCGCCATCTTGGTTCTCTCCCTGTTCAGTTCTTGTCATGCTTATCCTGTTCCCAGCTGGTCTCATAAATTTTAACATTTAACAAGACTAGCATTTTGTAAGAATGGCTCATACCTTGAGACCCTTGTCCAATCTAACAACATAAGCAAAATCTCTCGCTCTCTGACTTTTGCTTGACTTCTGCCAATGGGAAGTCCCAGCAGGAGATCTCTTCTGGGTAGAAAAGCAAGACCTGGGTATTTGTTCTTGTGCCTCTCTCCCTACAAGTTAATCCTTGACCAGCTGCAACCCTAAGTTGAAGATCACACCTTCTCTAAGGTGTGGATTCCAGTTTTCATTCACCCCCTTAGGATTGGTTAGTGTGTAATTTCCTCATTGTTTCAAGTAGTCTCTCCTGCCACTTGCATCCCTGAGTCCACAGCTTGTAGGAAACCTTGCACTTGACTCTCTCCCAGTTACCTAATTAGAGTGGGACATCTCTGCTGCTAGAATCCTGATAGAGAAATCTTAATGATAATCACTCTCTCTTTTCTTTCAGAAATGCCCTGATTTTTATTCTTGTTTCTTTTAAAAATTCCCTCTAATGTTTCTGACACTAGAATATCTCTCCTGACAGCTGAAATCTCTTGTCATTGCTCAAGCAGAATGTTTTGTGTTCACACCTGATGAGTCTGCCAATGTACCATCTTTGCTAAATCACCTGAGAATACCAGTCAATGCCTTCTGTGATCTGTCCCCCAGCCCAGGGCACTTT